TTTTTTTTTTAAGGGGGGAAAATCATCGAATGACTGCTCCCGCCTGGGTGAGGCGGGAGGGAGTGTCAGACTCTTACTGACTAAAAACCACCCCGTTCCTTCTCCTGCACGTTGAGCCGGAGCCCCGGTTACCCGTTAGGTTCTCCGCGACTTATTTTATGGGCTAGGCTAACGAGCAGACGGATCACCTGATGGTAAATCGGCGTAGCCCACAAAACCAGAAGTTACAAGAGCGTTGTTGATCTTTTGGGGGTTTGAGATTTGAGGATTGGGGATTTGGGGAATTTGAGAAAGAGAGGAATTTGGTTTCCAAAACTTTTGTACGGGATACAGGGGCAAGTGAGTAGATCGACAGCCGCGACACTTTAGAGGCATAATACTGTACTATTAGTGAGCTGACCCATTCGCTGAAGACTCCCACGTTGTCATAAAAAAAATTAAGTATTGAGTAAATGTGGATTTTCTATGAAGTAATTAAAACCACTTAATAACTTTATTTTTAAATAGGCTAGAAGCATGGTTAACGATCGTGAATGCGGTCAAGAGTTGAAGCGAAAGGCTCGTTTCGATATGAAGTGCTTCAATAAAACGAGTGACGAACAGCTATTACTATCCGAATAAATATATTATATCGACGTATAAAAAAAAGTATAGGAATCATCTTTTGAATTTTACAAACATCAAAGAAACTGGTCGTTAAAAATCACCTCCGATTTGATTCGGAGTTAAAATTCAAGGTTGTTCAACGTCCAATGTTACGAAATTATTATCTTTCTAGTTTGTCTGGTAGGTGTAAGAATAATTTATTAATTGACTGAATAATAATTCATCCTAATGACACCCGTTTAGATTCTCAAAATACATAGTTATAAATCGAAACCTTCATTTTCCCAAGCAAGCGAATATTTTTCCTTTCATGTCATTACAATCCACGACCATTATTTTAGGGAAATTAATAATGTGATTTATTTTATCACCATTGCAGTTTGCAGTCGTCTGAATTTTGTGAAGGTCACCTGTCTGGCCACATTCCTAATCGTTATCCCCAACTTTGTCCCCTCGGGGTAAGCCTGAAGTGGAAATTTAAAACAATCCCATGTGCCGAATTGGTTTTTTGTGACCTCGTCACCGTTGAATACAAATACTAAGATTACAAACTTTAGGTACGTCGTAGGTATGTAAACGTGTTTGTTACTAGGCTACCTCAATCAACTAACCTATATCCTTGCGACAGATATCGGTGCAAATGTTGTGGTTGCCATTCGTGGACCGTGTGGGTTAAATTCTTAGTTTCTCTCCAGAGCCCAACTAGCAGGCCTCCCGTTCCATATTGTAAATATCCACTGAGCATTCCGCAAGTAAACATGTTTTTTAAAATGGTTTCCAAGTTCGTGACCCTGGGAAGGAGGACAAGAGCCCATTATGATATGAAGAGTTCTCAGGGCTTTGAGAGAAAATCTTAGGTGTGGAAAACTGAAAAATACCTTACGTCCTGGAGTGAAAAGTTCAAATTTATTCACTTTCCTCGTATTCCAGACATGTTTTACTGCCTCTTGTCCAGTGTCCACTTAAATTGTTGTTAACTTTGGACATTTCCACGAGGAACCAAAATGATTTTATTGTGAAGTCTACAGTGAAATGTAAATAACACTGCACTGAATAGATAATGCTAAGCTGTTTGTGAGCGTTTATCTTGACAATGATAAGGCAATAGTTGGGGATAAACATAAACTCGCACATTGACTGTAAAATTTTTGCACAATTTTCAACAAAAAGTTTTGCACTTGGCAACATGACTGGATATAAAGCCTACTTGTGCAGGAAAGGGCACGATTGTAATAAAAATTGTGTCTGGGGGTTTTTAAGATGTGTATACTTATACATTTTGCTCTTGACACTCGCGCATGATGTGATGTCATCGCTTTGTGGGCAAAGTGTGCTAAGCAAACTACACTACTTGCCAACTCTTACTGAAAGTACTTTAGATATCGGTTCTATATAGATTTCAGACATAGCAAAGGCAATTTAAAGTTAATTGTTTCAACGAAATACCATAAAAATAATTTTAGGAAAGATAAAGCGATATTGTGACGTCACTGAGAAGCGATTGGAACGAATCGAAGGTTTTTATCATTAAAACCAATTTGTCTAAATAAAATAGTGACAAGATTAATGATGGATTCGAAGCCTTGACTTCGATTTGGAATGCCCGATAAGAGCAGAGTATAATCGAATATCGTATATTAACGCTAGATTACACTACTGCTGGAGGACAGACAATCCTTCAAAGATGGTGTAACTGTAATAGGTAAATAATTTATCTGATTCCCCAGTTGTGAGCCTGGGTATGTAAAATAAATGTCAGACATCTAAAACTCTTGTGGTACCTAATCAGATGCGATACCGAATCACCTGGCAACACTCAGGGATTACGGATCTTAAGCAGAGAGGCCTTGGTCAGATAGTAAAAACACATTGCAGCTAAACAGCGATGATTTAAACAACCCAGGGAAATATGCAATTAAAGTGATTTCAAATCTATTTAAATGCATCTCTCAATTTTTTATAGTAGGTATCTATGTACCAACTACCAAAGCTTCGGCGAGTGCAAGATTAAACTGTGGAATACCAAAGTAAATCTTGAATGAAATATCATTTGGTTTATTTCTTTTTATTCAAGCAGGTACACGATATGACTCCCAGGGTCAGAGCCCATTCGTCCCCTAAGATTCGCACCCTGTGCCCACTCGTCCCCTGTAACTTTTGAGGGGCCTATTCGTCCCCTGAAGAATATTTATTTTTATTCGTTCTTCTAATATAAGTACATGTATATATGTATACTGCAGCTTGGTAGTCCTGGTACAGTCGCGCAGAAAAATTGTTTTATTATCGAGCCAGTTCTCGACAAAATAATCATTAAAAGCTGAAATTACATTATTTTGAGGGCAGTCCTCCATAATATAAAGCCAACCGTCATCTATATATTGTGCTGGTATTAAAGCGAGTGAGGCGCAAAGGGCAACGTGTCGCTTATGTAGTCTAGATTTGAGTTCCAAGTGTTTTGCTTTCTTCCACAGGGATTTCAAAAAATGGAAATAACATCCAGAAATTAGCGTGTTTGGGAAAACTTTTTGTGCCGCGTTTTGTATTGCCATCTCAAAATCCATGGTAAACTGACGTGGACACCAATTGGGAAAACGGGCCTTAAGCATATGAAATAGAATTTCGTAAGTAGCTTGCTTTTTATTTAAAAGCAGCGCAAACACTAACGGCACAATATTTGTACTGGTGGTAGAGCTTCCAATATCAGCGTGAATACTAAATAGCTGAACAAATGGATGAATTGCAAATTTAAAGGTTCCATCTAGGTGGGTCAGAGCCCATTCGTCCCCTAAGATTCGCACCCTGTGCCCACTCGTCCCCTGGAACTTTTGAGGGGCCTATTCGTCCCCTGAAGAATATTTATTTTTATTCGTTCTTCTAATATAAGTACATGTATATATGTATACTGCAGCTTGGTAGTCCTGGTACAGTCGCGCAGAAAAGGGTAAAATAATAAATATAGAATTAATGTTAGAACGTTCATTATTTTAGTACATTAAAAGAAGGACAACGACTCCACATTGAACTAATACGAAAAACAAAATACAAGATTATAATAACATCCACAAATATGATAAAATTATAATTGCGGATAATAAATTGCTACTTATACATATTTAGGAGTAAATAATGTAGTCAAAATATAACTGTAGTATTCCAATATAAAGTAAATTACCGTCAAATAATAATACTAATCATATTCCAGGATTCAAATGAGATAATTCGATTCAATTATGTTAAAAATATTATTATTATAATATTAACAATATTGTTTATTTCGTTAGGCGAACATCATTTAATATAAAAAAGACCAAAGACACATTGAAGTCTCGTATTCGTAGTCACTTTCAAGAACCAATATGTCACCGAGGCAGCCATAACATACAAATAAAACACCTTATCAATTTTGTACCCCGTTTTTTAAAAAGCCATTCGTAGAGAGACAATATTGCATCGTAGGCCTATCGACAGGTTATATTATTATCAATCATCATAGCTCTTTTTTCAATGATCTGTTATGATTTATTAAACTAATTCCGTTAATAAACTGTTCACAAGTGTACTATGTTAACCGTTTCTTGTGTAAAATTTAGCTTATTTTATCTCAGGGGACCAATAGGCACCTGAATAGGTGCCGAATCTTTAACTTATTATGTATTATATTAGAGGGGACGAATGGGTACCTTAAAAATAATATTTTTTTATTAAATATTAATTGGTCCCCTACCAGGAGACCAATGGGCACCTATATAGGGGCCGAATCCACAACTTTTATGCTGGGGGACGAATTTTAGGGGACGAATGGGCTCTGACCCGACTCCCAGTCATCACGTTCATAATTAAAAAAAATAACAAACACAAAACCTCAATTTTAAAAAATCCGTCGTTTAGTTACCATTTGTAACTATATCATTTGTCACATAAGTGTGAAATATAATGCCACAACGTGACGTCATTATTTGTCAAAAATGGATGACAATGGTCATTGAAGATGATGAAATTATCAGCAATACCTACGATAAACTATGAAAGTGTGACGATGAAGTAATATGCAAATGAGATGACTCAGTGACAATGAATATTGATATAATTAACATGTTAGTTCAAGTGTTTACATAATATTTAGATCTCGAATAGAATTTATTTTAAGACTTGCTACTTACGCGCGGTTTCACTCGCTCTGCTCGGCGCCTATTAGTCGTAGCGTGATATTTTATAGCCTATAGCCTAGCCTCGATAAATGGGCTATCCAACACAGAAATATTTTTTTAAATCTGACTAGTAGTTTCGGAGATTTGCGCGTTCAAACAAACAAACAAACAAAAAAACAACTCTTCAGCTTTATAATATTAGTATAGATATCTGTAATATAAAACTCTACCTACAATGATTCTTTTCTGATTTCATATTTTTATCTGAATATTTTGTATCCATTTTATTTTATTTTAAAAATGGTGGAAATAAGAAGTTATGCTTACTAAGTTTTTAAGCAACTCTTATAAGAATAAAAAGTAATTTAGTAGAAGTAAAAATATAAAAATATCTTAAGTACCATAAAAATTAAAAATAGGTAATTTATGTATCTTTTGAATTCTTGGAAAATTTACCTAAAATAGTAGGAGTTACTTGTATTGTATTACAAATCCCACGTTTTTTGATCAGGTGATTAGGTAACTCTAAATACTTATTAGGTTATTCAACTTCATTTATGCAAATGTTAATGACATAAGGCATAATTTTTAATTTTATAATGCTTTTACACATCTGTATATTTTTTTTATTTTAATGTTTAACTGCCATCCTCAGTGACATTTACTTCAAGTAGGTACTTCTAAAAAAAATAATGTTCCAACGACAATTGCTAAGGACTGCGTTAAGTGACCTTAATAACTGCAGAATATAGTAAATACAAATAACTTGAGATTAACAATTGACATAGACATAACATCACGCCTTTTATAGCCGAAGGGGTAGGCAGAGGTGCACATTACGGCAATTATTGCCACTGTACAATGTAACACCCAGTTTTCACTATTTATTTTACAAGTCTCATGTAATAGGGGGTGAGCCTATTGCCATATACTGGGCACAATTCCAGAACCCATGCTACAGCTGAGTTTTTTTAAAAAAAAAACAGTCTCACTTACAACCACTCTGCCAACGAGGCAGATTAACAATTGTTATACCTACAAAGACTGTTTAATTCCAGTCGAAGAGTTTAATATCTTTTATTTCATTTACTACATATTCATTTACTACATAGGTACTATTACACCACACATTTATTTTATCAGCTGATAAATGTATGAAAATTGAAAAGTCATGTTTATATGTCATAGAAGTTACTAGCAAAGAATTTATTATAGCTACAACACTAATTAAAAATAACATTTTTTCTCAACATTCTAGAGGAATAGTTAAGTGGTCGACTAGTTTACCTTGAAGTTTCTGTTAATTGTACTTGTATGTAGGTATACTTAGTGACCAACGTCTATAAAACAATAGGTATACCTTCTCATAAGTTACTGAAATCTTGTAATATGACGAACCTCATTACAATTACTTATAAGATATTTACTACAGATTTTCTTATAAGAAACCCATATAGTATTTGGATATTGAATAACTGTTTAATGTTTAAATGCAAATGGCAGAAAGTTTTGTAAATAGTAAGTTGGTGAGAGTGATTGTATATTGTGAATACAATAGTCGACAGCACAATTATTATTGCCTGCCATACAACATGATGTTGGTTTCATTCCCGCGCAGAACAACACTGTGTGATCCACAATTGTTGTTTAGGGATTGGATATCATGTGTATGTTAAATTATATGTCTGTGGATATACCCACGATACAGGAAAAAAGTCGAGTGGGACAACTCAAAAAAAAAAAATAACAATACTATTTTGTGTTGAGGTGTGGTTCTGTATTTAAATAAAAAAAGGTGATAGACTTGGTAACAAAACCTAAATCTTTCTAATAAATTACAGTAAACTAACAAATGCTACTTACTCTAATCAAAATTAACTAACTACCCAATCATAAATACTACAAGGTACTTGTATAACTGTGGATTTTATCAGCACCTCATAGAGAATGGCCTCATCATGGGCAACAGGTGTTCAGGCTTCTCAAGGTCGATGCCATTGCCATCATCACCTCGGCAATAGCACTTGTGTTCCATAGACATCTTTGCAGCTGACACTTGTTAATTTTCAACTAAATAGATGTTCTAGAATTAGTACATTATAATATTGAACTAAAGGTCTCATTTTGTCCGTCTTAAACTTGAGACCACTTTACTTAGACCTAATCTGCCTATTACCTGTGTTAATCTACTACAAGGAGTAATAAAATCTAGGAAAAAGGAAAAATGTGTGGAAAAAAGTACCTAACATATGAGGACAGCTGAGTCATGCCTAATGGTCATGCAATTTTAAAGTTACACAATATTTATCCAATATTTCTGCCTAATGATATTCAAAATGGCTTCAAATAGTTGAATTCAAAATCAAAACATGCAAAATCAATTTCATGCAATATACTCTTCAATCTTTCAAAAACATACCAACACCTTCCAAAATAAAATAATTTGCATGAAACCTCAAAAATCTCAGCACCACCTACCTACACCATAGATAATTTAATTGCTAAAATTATTGTGAATCTGTTTCTGGCAACAACAGCGGCTTCAAGGATTTTTTTTCTTGACCAATGGCAAAGGCATAAAGCATCATGCCAAAACTGTCACCTTGAAAATTCCCCAAGTTCCACGAAACATTAAGATTGCAAGTGATCTTACAAGAATATATAATTATTATAGTTATCTTTTAAAACTAAAATGGAAGGTACACAAAGATTATTGTGTACCTATATCAAAATTCTTTTTATTTCGTGGATAAATTACCTTTCTCCTAAAATCTTTTTCGCTAAATTCCCTGTGACTTCGTCCTCAGACTCACAGCGAGGCCTTTTCCTAACATAGCCTGCTTCTTGCATGACCTTCGATTTAAAAAATGTTTAAAGTTATAGACAGCATCAGAATCTCTTCATTCCTTCATCCCGAACATTCTGAAGTTTCTAAATTAACGGTTAGTACCCCACTCATCTACACTATCCACTAACATGCACATACAATATTTTTGATATTTGTGTACCTAAGTAACTACAAATATCAAAAACCTACTAAATATTGTCCCTTTTAAAACTAATTTTGCAGGTAATAATAAGTACAATTTTGTGTTCGTGGTTTACGTGCTGACTGAGTAAGCATGTCATGACCACGAGATCTCTCAACGTTTTTTTACTTCCAGTAGAATCTTCCATTCACTTCCTAGCCAGTAATTTGCTAACAATACCTCATTTGAATAGGATTAATACAAGTAAACATTTATAAAAACAAATATAATCTACATGCTGAAATAAATTTTAACAAGATATAAACCAATAAGATTCCACTTACTTGGTAAAATGTGACGAATTAATAAAAGAACGACGAACAACACGCACGTCCAGCGTCCGGTTACAAAATAATTGACAGCTGGAGCCGGCCGGAAAAGATGGCGCCTCACGCCGGTATAACTTGCCAGTATTCTAGCTCTACGAAAAATTTAATTAAATATAATTTATATTTAGATAATTTTAAAAAGAGCATAAAAACAAAACCCCTACATTATTTTCAATACATTCTGTTACGTCAGATATTTTATTACGCGGTCGTAATAAATAATTAACTGTTGCACTAGGCATATTATATAGTTACATATTATTACCTATCATTACGAAAAAAGTCTCAGCATTTCAGAAAGTAGGTGTCCACTTCAACCTATTTAGCGAAGCTTAGGATGAACGACATCCTAGGATCCTACTTGGCAAACCTTATTTTAAAAAGTTTCACTCGTAGGTGGAAGGTGGCGTTGTTCACAAAATTTTTATGGCAAAGATTTTTCCTAATTTGTATTTCGAGTGGCCCATATTTCCGTTAAAAAAAAAAAATAAAAAAAACATCTTTAACTCTGAATATAGGTTGTTTTTTACTAATCAGGTGTTGCAAACGATATATTTTCATAGAACCAGAAGGCAAAACCAATACCAGTAACAGTTTCTGTAATTCTGTTGATAACTTCCACTGGTAGGTATTGGTTCTGGTTCTCACACACACAGTGCATGTCTCCTTTCTCCAAAAGTTCACTCGATTGATGAGAAAAGTATGTAAGTATTTCAAGTAAGTGTACCTACGTGATTCTAAAAAACAATGGATGTCGTTCTAGAAAGGTACTTGAGGAATAATAATAATCATCACTTTACCAAAAATATTGCACACATGGACGTTAAAAGGTTCGTAATCCCTGTTATAGATTGAAGGCCATTGTGCTTGTGAGAAAATGAAAAGTATAGTAGGGCATGTATTTCGGGTCCCGCCGAGAGGAGGCTATAAATCTGCACCTAATGTGACCACTTGACCGCTAACTGATTTGGAGCAGAACGCTTTATTACCCTGCCCTATATTATTTTGAACTCCATTGTTCCTTGTGAAAAAATTACGTAAAAATAAATAGGAGAATTGAGGAAAACGTGAATCTTTATTGCCTTAGAGCGCAGTAATGGTCTGTGGTAAGTCGCGTTTAGACGTCAAGTTGCTCTATGTTTTTTGATAGGCGCTAACCAAAGGTGTTATCGTAGAATGTAGACTATTAAAGCCTCCAATATGAAATTAGCAACGGTTAAATATTGTTTTAGCGGTTTTAAGTAGGTATTTATTTATAATATTCGTGAATAAAAATCATTAACTATAGATTATTCGCGCTACTTTGTTCTAAGTGACAAGCAATATAATTTTTAACCGACTTCAAAGAAAGAAGGGGTTGAAGTCGGTTTTATTTTAATGTAGTTATGTGATTTATGTAATGTCGTGGTGGCCCGGAGGTTTAAGACGCCCAGTTCTCGTGCATGAGGGTGCGGGTTCGAAACCTACCAACGGCAAGTACCAATGTGACTTTTTCCGAGTTATATGTACTTTCTAAGATTATTTAGACACCACTGACAAACGGTGAAGGAAAAACATCGTGAGGAAACCTGAACTTATAATT